ATATATATATATATGTGTTGTGTGTGTGTGTGTGTGTGTGTGTGTGTGTGTGTGTGTGTGTGTGTGTGTGTGTGTGTGTGTGAAAAGTGTATATAAATATAAATAAATATATATATATATATAATTATTTATATATTATATATTTGTCGTACCCACGATCGCTAAAGCGTGAAACCCAGGGTCACAAACTCACATCTATCCAACCAAATATATATATATATATATATATATATATATATATATATATATATATACAGTGAGAGGAAACAAATATTCGTACAAATACAAATTTTTAATTTACTGTATTTCCAACTAATGAAGAAACATACTTTTCATATAATTAACTGTACACAGATGCATAATAATTAAATGTGCATAGAAAACAGAAAAAAACTTGATTTACTATAAATAAATCCCATTTATCCATTTTAAGGGGAGAAAAAGTATTCGTATAATGCAAATATCAGATTTTAAAACTTTAAATGTTTTAATACTCTAGATTATTCAAGTTGAATATTCTGGAATGTTCCAATGTTATCAGTAGTTATTTTTAGCCGAAAAATACAAACAAAACATTCTGAAATTGATATTCGTACAAAAAGTTTATCATCATGGCATGAGGTAAAGAAATTCGCAAAAAGAACTGATTGATAATCTCTGGAAATAAGCTAAAAGTTACAGGAGAATCTCAGACAACTTGAATATCTCATTTATAACAATTAGGTCATTCATTGCAGAGTATAAAAAAACTCAAATCTGTTGAAAACCAAAGAACAGGTGCTCCACGGAAGATTTTCTTCAAGATCTTCGAGGAAATCAATTCGTCAAATTAAACAAAATCCAATAGTTGCTCGTCAAGAGTTGCAGGATGATTTGCTTTCATCTGGAATCTGTGTCACTAAACGGGCAATAAGCAATGAAATTCATAGGAACTCTTCCCTAAGAAAACTGTTACTGAAAAGACACAGAGATGTCCGATTGAAATTCGTTCGTAAACATAAGGATAATGAAAAATCGTATTAGGAAAGAATATTATGGACAGATGAAACCAAAATTGAGTTATTTGGACGTAACTCTAGAAATCATATATGGAGGAAATATGGTGACGCCTTCATACAAAAGAACACAATTCCCACAGTGAAATTTTGTGGTGGTGGTGGTGGTGGTGGTGGTGGTGGTAGCATCATGGTTTGGAGATTTTTTTCTGCAAAAGGTACTGGCAACATATCAGTAATAGATGGTGGAATGAATGCCACAGCATATGAAAATATTTTGGAAGCAATTTTAATGGTTTCGGTTGAAAAACTTGAACTTCCTCCTGATTGAATCTTCCAACAAGATAATGATCCTAAGAACATTAAAAAATCTACGATGGAATCGCTTGCTGAAAATAATGTAATTATCCTGAAATAGCCAACTCAGTCCCTAGATTTAAACCCAATCAAGAAGTCGTGTCGTTATTTGAAAATTCAATTCTAATCGAGAGTTCCAACAAACATCCCGGATCCAAAGACCATCTTCGAAGAATAATGGGGCAAAATACAAACTAAAATTTGCAAATCATTGAGAACTACAAGAAGAGGTTGGTTGCTGTAGAAGTGAATAATGGCTATTCTACAAAGTATTAAATGAAGATTATGTATTCTTTTTTGTGTTGTACAAATACATTTTTCACCCATCAAAATGGTTAAATGGAATTTATTTCTATTAAATCAATTTTTTTCTGTTTTCTATGCATATTTAGTTATTATACATCTGTGTATGTTTATTCAGTAGTTGGAAATAAAATAAATTAAAAATTTGTATGCGTACGAATATTTATTTCCCCTGACTACACACACACACACACACACACATATATATATATATATATATATATATATATATATATATATATATATATATATATATATATATATATATATAAAATCAGCACTCACAGGTGACAGACTGTTTCATACCGCGGCCTGACGATTGCGTTCAGTATAAAACAGCCTGTCGCCTCTGGGTGTTGACTTCAATGTTCACTTTTATATTTATATTTACATACGCTCTTTCTCTGATATTGAGCACTTTATCCTATAAATATAGAACACCTTGAAACTATATTTCTTCATATATATATATATATATATATATATATATATATATATATATATATATATATATATATATATATATATATATAATATATAATATTTAAATGTAAACTCACTGGTATTTGGTTCACTAATTTATTTTTGGTAAACCAGATATATTTTTTTACATCACGATGTATTGAAAAATAGTTTATCATCATAAACATTACTTATATATAGCAATCTTAGCAAAATTTGAATTAAAATCAAATAACTCACAATTACTATGTCATCAAATTTACGTTCAATCCCCGGCCTGGGTAGTGCAGTCATAAACTCATTGGAAACAAAAGGAACAAGAAGTAAGCATTATTAAATAAGGAAAAGAATAGATATGAATTTGGTGGGATAGTCATTCAGAGTTCAATCCGTGGGCCGATTAGTGTAGACCAAGACTCGGTTGAAACAGAGGGAACAAGAACTAAGCAAATACTAAATAAGAACGAGACGCGGTATCCCTAAAGATGGAGAACGGGGCACAAATTACCTAACCCGATAGATTAAATAAAGTGTTCAGTTCAAAATTCTCTGAAAGCAAATGAAATAAGCGTAGATTTGAAGAGACTTGATATCCTTCAGTTGCCAAGAAGAAGCAATAAACATGCAACTAATGAAAGCAAATAAAAATCTATATTCATTTTTCCCTCCTGTCTGAATTAACAACCGTGACGCATTTGTCAATTTATAAATAAATTGTAAATAAAGAGAAAACCATAACACACAAAAATATCTGATTTTATTTTTTTATTTAATAAATAAATACTTAATCAATCTTTGATTGAAACTTGTTTATTCTTATGTAGCCTCACTAAAAGAAACGAATATCAGAAATTAAATGTATCCTGATGTGATTCGAACGTCCGGCATGTTGGCATTCAGGCAATTTACATATCTAACTGACAAATAACAATCATAAAAAAGGATTATACTTTTTAAATCATTAAAATTTAAAAAAATATCTCTTAAAATTAATACGAAATAAAAGAAATAAAAACAAATTCTTAACAACCTGACTTTAGTCTTTAGTCATAAGATATTCTTTTGTTATGGTAAAATGAGACATTTTCGCTTTGAATGCCGTCGAGTGAGGCTTCATGTTACCAGAACAACGTCATATCCAGTTATTGATGAGTGAGATATGTTTTGAGAGCTAAAAAATAAAAAAGAACGTACTTAATATTTGAAATCTAAAATGATACTGAAAATAGATTACGGAATTAGATGATCCAAAAGAATTTGAAGGGTTAAAATTTGAACTCGATTTTCATTGGTCAGCAACTAACAAATCAGCCGTGATGTTACTTATATTCTCGAATCACAGTCATGTCATGTGACGTAAATTATCATTATTGTCATTCAATAAAAAAGTCCCAAGATAAATTTGAACAGGCATAGATTGATAGATAAATAGATCTGAACAGACTAAGATGGATAGAGAGATAGATATGAACACACTGAGATAAATAGACAGATCAAGCTTGATTCGCAGTCTTCCATCTTAACGTTTAAGCTTGTCAGTCTGTTTGTTACAACGTTACATACACTTCAGCGTTACTCAATACAGGCTGCGGGGGAAAAAACTACTTTGTCAAAAAATCCTTTTTACATATGGAAAAATAAACTACAGCATTTTATTGTTATTTCATGAAATGTATATCCCAAATTGATTTAACTCGGTGATAGATTTAAAGCGGTAAAGCAGATAATATCGTGTTGTGATGGGATGTGCAGGTGGTGTAATGATTAGCTGCCGAAAACGAGAAATCTGTAAGCCGAGATCGAATTCCAGTCGAGTTCGTTACATTCTCTTTCGGGCAAATACCGTTTATGTTAAACTATCTTTTCTCTTCGCAGGTGTATATTAAATAGTAAGGTAGATTGGGCTCTTCAGCCTTAATAACCAGTCTAAAAGAATGAAAATTCTGAATTGAAAATAGAATGGAGCTTGTAACATCATCCAGTAAAACATACTTGTTACGAATGCCACAGCAGCAACTCGTAGCATATTGAGAGCTGTGGACCCTTACACCTCAGGGAGTCTACGTGACTTTAGAGAGGTGGACCCATACTCCCCAGTGAGTCTATGAGACTTCAATCCGGTGGGTCCATATTCTCCAGGGGGTCTATGAGACTTCAGTCCGGTGGGTCCATAATCCACAGTGGAATCTATGGGACATGAGAAGTGCAACTAAAATATAGAAATTTAAAAAATGTTAAATTTAGATTGTTGTTTTAAGTTGAGTTTAACGCATCAATGGTTTTTGTAAAAAAAAAAAAGAAATCTGAAACATTAATTGTGGCAATTACAAATATTTAAAAAGGGTAATTAGTGTTTCCAGGTTCATTTCACTCTGTATTAAAATAATAGTTCAGATAAAAGATACGACAGTCGTTTGTTTGTCTTTAGGATGGACTTTCGAATCAAAGCAGAATTCATTTGTCAATGTTTATATAGTTATCAAATTTAAGGAGACATCAATTATGGACACAAAAACAGTACAGAAGTCATACTATTCATTATTTTGATATGAATAGCTTCAGAGTTGAATATTTAAAAATAAAAATAATAATAATAATAACGATATAAATTAAAGCCGTCTGGAGGACGTCGTTGTTTGGTTCAGTAAGGGTACTGAGAAATGTATTGTAGATTTAAGAAGACTTGCTGTGATTAAATCTTCAGCGATAAGTAGCAAATATCTGGCGTGAACATGTAAATGAATTTAATATAAAAATATAATAATGAAGCAATAATAAACAAAAGAGAACAAAATTGTAACAATAATAAGTGCGAAATAATAATAATAATAATAATAATAATAATCCTGGTGCTCATAATATTACTGTTTAAATTCGACTTACCAGTTGATACGAACAAAACCCAAATAGAAAGTGCAAGCATGATGTTTTCTTTCAGTTGAGAAGTTCGTTTCTAATTATCAATTTGATTCCGAATGAACCAAGTGTCTCCGGCTGAATGTTCTTTTTCTAGATAATTCTTCCTCAAAAGTTGACCCTCATTCACACAAAACACTGGACAATCCAATGGAGAAACCAACAGCAGCAGAAATTGTGTAAATGAATATTGATTTCTAACAGATCGATATGTGTGTTTGTTACGTTTCGTTGCACTTATTGAAATCTAATTAAAATGTTGATACGATGTTAATAAAAGGAAATTTGGTGTTAGATATTATTAATAATAATAATATTAATAACAAAATAATTTTCTCATATATTTTGTGATCATTTTATATTTTTTATTCTTATCTTATTTACTGATTTCTATTCTTATCATTCAAAGTAATAATAATAATAATCCTTAATGAAGGTGTACATTTGATAACCAACTGTTTACCCTGACCTCCAGTATAAAATGAAATATGTTTATGCTTATGCTCTATTTTTGTATCGAGCACTATTTTTAAAAAATAATAACAAAAATACTAAAGAACTTTGGATTATTTACCTAACTTTCCTATTTTCTATATATTTTTAAACACACACATACACACATATATATATATATATATATATACTTTGGGTAGATGGAACTCGTCATGCCGAAAGTGTAGTCCATCTAAGAGAAGGAAAACTCTTATCTTAAACCTCTGCTGCCTTTGGGCCATTACCCAGTCATAGGAAAGCCTTTTCGAGTAAACCCTTAGGAAAACTCCGTAGCCAGAGTTCCTAAGACAGTCCAATGTTATGTTCAACTTCGCCATGTTCTGCCATTGGAACAAACTCTTCCCCCAACAATGAGAAACCGGGTCACCAAAACCGGATTAATTCCATCAATTAAATTCTGATGACTTAATGACAAATCAATTAATAAAAAGAAAGCGAAAGAAATGGAGTCACGAAGAGAATAAACAAGTCATGGCATCTTTTCTCACTGCACTCGAAAATTCACAAAAGAACATCACGGATCAGACATACCAAATATGAAGAGATATGCTAGGCACTAAAATAAAAGCCTATCTCGACCGAAATATACTTCTTGTCCATAGGGCATCGTGTGAAATAAAAGACTCTCAAATACAGAAATAGATAAATTAAAACTAAATATAAAAAAAAAGTAAAATCAGAAATGATCAGCACAAAAATGAGGCAACAGTGGAAATAGATTATATGACAGGGGATGAAATAAAAACTAAAGTAAATGAGATACAAAATAATGATCTCTCAGCAGAGAAAACGGAAGAATCTACCTCGGATATAAACTGCAGTTATTCAGATTATTTTACTCAAGATGGCTCAAACGACATTCGAGCAGAATTCCTTGAAAACAACAAAGGTGAAATCACCGAAGCGAAAAAAAAACATCATTCAAGTACTCAGCAAAGTAACCTGCAGGCAAATGTCAGAGACCAGCTCCCAAAAATCCATATAACAAACTCCAATAAACATTGTACAAATATACAATGCTGCACTGCAAACACTCTTAATGGACAAACCACTGGAATCATCACAGAAATAAATAATGTCATATACGCAACAGCTGCAGCAGCTACTGGGAAGCTTGGTGTCAAGAGAATGAAAAGACAAAGCCAGCTTGAAAGGCAAAAACGAGAAATAAAGAAAATCAGATGTGAGTTATCGGTCCTAGATGAGATCTCTAGAAACCCAAATGGGTCAACACGCTAATGCAGGAAAATCAAACGGAGATATAAAATTAAAATGCTAAATGACATTCCACCAATCATGCAAATTATAAAACAGAAACTGCAGTTAAAGGCACAGAGAACAAGACAATACGAAAAGCGTTGTAAGTTCTATCGCCATAATAAGATATTCCAAACGGACCTTAAGAAATTTTAAAGGGAAATTGGAAAAGCGGTAATACATGTTGAAAATGTGCAGAAATTTTGGGAGAATATAACTTCAATGCAGAGTGGATCCAACAAGAAGAAGAACCAACGATGGATATTTTATCTTCTCTAAATGAACGAATGATGAATAAAACTCTACAAGAATGGTAAATATATAACTAAGACTAAGGCTAGGCAAGCTCAAGAGAAATCCTCAAAATGGAAATACCCAGGAAATGTCAAAGTGCCTACTTTTTGGCTTTGTCAACAATCCATAGACAAACTTTACTAATATTTTGCGTATTAGTAATCCCAGTGATGCTCTAAAATGGATCACTGAAGGAATTACATATCTCCTGACAAAAACGGGTGAAACAGATGATCCGAAAAAATTATAGGCCAGTGACATGGCTGACCATTTCGTATAAATTAATCCCGTTTGTCCTGACGAACTGTACTTTTCTCGAAGAAAACAACATTCTTACCTTAGACCAGAAGGGATACAGGAGTGATTCATATGTTTGCAAAGATCAACTATTGATAAAAACAAAATGATCCTGCAAAATTGAAGGAAAAGAGGTAAAAATTTCAGCACACCATGGATAGATTACTATAAAGTCTTTGATAGTTTGCCACATTCCTGGATCTTTAAGATTTTAGAAATGTACAAAGTCTTCTCGGTGATAGTAAGTTTCCTTAATCACAGTATAGGAATGTGAAAAACCAAATCATACCTAAATCACACAAGAGGCACTGCCACTTCCAAACGCCTGAATATCTGGCGAGAAATCTTTCGAAGAGACTCCCTATCACCACTTCTGTCGTTAATCCTCCTTACGCATCAATTAAACAACAATAGCTACGGATACAAAATAAAGAAATTGTTCGATCACTTACCATACATGGATGATATCAAACTCTTAGCGAAAGACGACAATGAGTTGAAGGGTTTCTTCAATACTGTAAAATGTGTCACCGACGACATAGGTATGGATTTCCGATTAGATTAATGTACAAAAGTAACATTCAAGAAAGAATGAATTATAGAAACACATTCAATAGATCTAGATTGTGTCACAAAGATTAGGGAACTGAAACAAGAAGAGGCCTATCGGTATCTAGGAATTAGAGAAGGAGATGGAATTCAGCAGAACCAAATGAACGAGAAAGTAAGAAATGAATATTACAGACATGTACGTCTGGTATTGAATACCAAACTGAATTCAAAAACAGAATATCAGACATAAACACATTGGCTGTCCGCATGGGTTGTAATGTTGACCATCTTATATAAGATTACACGGAATTGGTACTCACTGAACATAAAACCCGGTATGACAGAATGAGTCAATATCTGCAACCTTTACAGAAAGAAAACTGCAAGAAATTCGTATGAACACGACCCAGACCTGATTACTGAGATAAGTCCTATAACAATTTCATGGGACATTACAATACACACAGATGGAAGAATCAAAACTAATTCTCCTGACATTGTGATGAGAGATTGCAAAAACAAAATATACCTTCTTACTGAGATGCCAGTCCCTGAAGACTGCGACGTATCATTGAAGATTTTCTAAATACAACGACCTTGAAATCGAAATGTCAAAAATGTGGCATATGAGATTAACAACTTCAGTTGTAGTTGGAGCCCTCAGATTGATTGGATAAGATTCCATTGGACTCATTGAAGGAGTTTCTGATAGTCCATGCCTTAAAGAAATACAAAACAATGTACTCATAATTAAAGACCACACCTTATCTATGTACAATATGTATGCTCTTGTATTTTTTGTTTGTTTGGGTTTTTTTTTATTTTGCTATGATGCTATTTCTGACCTAATGTCTCTGGTTGGGACTCAGAAAGAAATGAGTATACACCAGAAATAAAAGATAATAATAATAATAATAATAATAATAATAATAATAATAATAGTGGTTGACGTCAACTCCAATATTTTCCAAACACTTCCAGAAGTTCGTGATTTCCAGAAAACAAAAACAAAAGAAAGGGAACAGTTTTAATAATGTTTAACAATATTTTGACAGTATATCTGTCTTCTTCAAGATATATATATATATATATATATATATATATATATATATGTGTGTGTGTGTGTGTGTGTGTGTGTGTGTGTGTGTGTGTGTGTGTAGAGAGAGAGAGAGAGAGAGAATAGGAAATAACACAGAAATGTTTTCAAACTGAGTATTACAATTTCTTGAAAAATGATTAATCTAGTCTGTAGTTGTTATTTGAAATAGAGCCGATGTCATTTTCTGTATCTCTGGTACTCTCAGTTACTGCCTATTAGCATCTAATACTTCTTACAACACTGATATGTCATACACAAGGCCAGGATAGGCGCACCATGCCCAGCCTCTTTTTGGTGCACTGTGGGGTAACCTTTTCAGTAACACAAAATTGATAATTTTATTTACTTATGTATCAAATTATGTTTATTTACTTATGAATCAAATCAGTACAGCTTTAATTATTGATGAAAAAATCATTTCTTAGCATGGAAACGTCATTTTAAAGCCATTAACGTTCATTCAGTCAAAATCACTATTAAATGGTTTGACCAATGGAAATCAGCCAGAAGGTCACACAATATCGCACTAATGCCATTTTTTCATCGTTCCTACAACAACGCTGATTGATCTTTTCCTTGTCGGCAAATATAATGGCCTTTACATTAATGACATGCTTACAACTCACCAAATGACTAGCGAAACATGAGAAATCAATACACAAATAATATCCACCCACTTAATTAATTATTTATATTAATTGCGTTTATGCAGCATGGTGTGACAGAGCGGGTTGGGTTTAGAAAGGACGTCGTTGGAATTGATATTAAGTGGAATGTCAAAGGTTTGGACATGCGTTATTTATATTTACATCCTTGAAAAATCTACGACACATTTTCTTTCTTTCTTTCTTCCTTTTTTTTTTTTTTTCTTTTTTTGAAGTGTTCCTGTAATTGGAATGTTTTTCTTCGGTGTATATGTTTTTTTACATTCTATTGATCTGTATCTTCTGTTTATTTATTTGTTTACAACGAGGCACAGGGAGAAGTCATCTTTT